TCTCTAGCTTTGCATTTGCATTACATCTTGTGGGTAATTCGATATTTTTCCATTCCTTGTGACAAATTAAAGACTGGTGGTGAACCATGAATTAAGATTTAAGTTAATCAAATAATTTGATATCTAATTCTCACTGTGACAATGAGGTGGTGGCATGCTACGTCGGCGTCGAGGCCGGACATCTTAGCAGCGCTCCATGCGAACAGGTCAGCATTCTCCCGAAGGCAGGCCTTTAGCTGCTTCCTCGCCAGGTCGGGGAGTCCCGTGCCAATCTTCAAGCTTTTTCCTGGGTCATCTCCGAGCGTGATGAACTCGAAGTTTCAATATGGAATGGGGTGCGTTAGGTGAGACGACTACCCGTTGTATGCTGGAGGTGTCTCTTCAGCTTATACACTCTACTCCTGCTTGTTGGGGAAACGACTATCGAGATCGACGAAGATGACACGGGGTAATGACTTCTGCTCTTCAGTCTGGGCTGGTTTGTCGGTCGTCTTAGGGGTGATTTTGATCGAGTTGAGGTCTTTGATTGTTACTCGAAACATATCATGACTGACTCGATGTCCCCGTAGAGGGTGACAACTCGACCTCTGGTCGTGTAATACTTCATCTTCAGGTGCACTGTAGATGGTACTGCAGTCAGTTCAACTAAGGTCGGCCTTCCTAGGATGCACTGGTATAGAGATGGACATTTGATCACCAAGAAGCAGACCTTCACCTGTCTAGAGGTCTCCTCGGTTCCGAATGTCACAAGCAGTTCCACGTATCCTCAAAACTTTGTGGTGGTGCCATTGAAGCCCTCTAGGTCAGAGCCGACATATGGGGTCATGTGGCTCTCGTCGAGCTGGAGGGTAGTAAATAGACAAGCATAAATTATGTCCATCGAACTCCATTGGTCGACTAGGACTCAACGTACGTGAAAGTTCGTCATCTGAGCCTTTATCAAGAGAGGAATGCTGGAGTTGGATGCATCCCGAGCAACTTCTCGAGGTAGAAGGTAATCGAGTTCAATTGACCTTTGAACTTGTCGAGGGTGGCGTTCTGCTTCGAGCTCTTGTCGATCAGCTCCCCGAATTTTCTCTTGACCAACCCGTTTGAGAGCTTGATAGGACCCCCACCGAATATGACCAGTGCGGCGAGGAAGTTCTCCCATGGACTACGAGCGGACATCGGTGTGTCGGGCTTTCCGGGAAGGAGAAAGTCTTCTGGCCGGGAGACACATAGGGCGACTTGCAGTCCGGCTTCTTCAGAGTATGGTGACACCTCCTCGACCCCTTTGACTTCACGGGTCTCATATCGAGGAGCCTCGCTTCTTCGGATGTACTGTTTCAAGTGCCCCTTTTGATTAAGATCTCGATTGCATCCTTAAGATGGATGAAATCTTCGATGACATGTCCATGACTCTGGTGGAATAGACAATATTTGGATTTGTTGACGTTGGGCTTAGGGGGTGTCGGTTTCAAAAAACGGACCCTACCCCTTTGAAATTCCGAGTTAATACACTTGGCCAAGATACGCTCGCAGGGAGCTGTGAGTAGCGTGTACTTAGTGAACTGGCCTGCTGCCCCCTCTGTTCTCGGGGTCGATCCTCTCTTATTCTTTCCCCACCTCTTCGAGGAGCAACAATATCCTCGTGTTTGGCGCCCCTGATGCCTTCTTGATTCCGCGTGTCACGGGCGTAGTGAGCTACCTGTATATCCTCATACTGGATGTATAATTGGGCCTCGAGGAGGCGAGCGTTTAAAGTGCAAGGTCGTTCAATCCCGACGGCCTTGGCGAAGTTGGTTCGTGGTTGCAATCCTCGCTCAATCAAAAATTTCTTCACGTCGTCCAAGGTGGGCACCTAGACAGCTTCTCAGTTGAACCTCTCTATGTAATCTCGAAGAGGTTCATCTTTTCCCTGGATGATGGCTTCCAGGGATGCTTCCGTCTTCTAGTGGCACGGGGAAGTTGTGAAGTGCCTGGAGAACTGCTTGTCCAGTTCGCCCCAGAAGATGATGGATTCGGGTGCGAGGCGCCTGTACCACGTCATAACACCCTTTCTTAGGGTAGTGGGGAAAAACTTGCACTTGATGGCTTCGCGGATGTTTTGATAGTCGAGCATCGCATCAATGCTTTCAATATGATCGTCCGGGTCGGCCGTACCATCATAAGTTACCAAGGGTAGTGTTTTTTCCATCCCGACGGGTAATGAAGTCTCTCTGATGGCCTTGGATAATAGTGAGTGTTGGTCGTCGTTGTCGCTCCTGACAGGTGACCGTGAAGGGGAAAAGTCCCCTCGATTATTTCTGTTTTGTCAAGGAGGACTCCTCGGCCGACTCTTTGGCTTCTTGACGCCTCTTTCAGCTATGTTCCTCTTCTGAGTGGAGGAGCGTCACACTTTTCGGGGAGGTGATCAGTCGCGCTTTTGGGGGGGCCATTGGTTGAGGCCGCTCCAAACGAGGGTGACGTCCAGTCTATTAGGGAGAAGGGCTCTGAGAGTCGTCGTGTATCGTCCTTCGCGGAAGAGGAGAGATGCTACTGGAAACGGGGCGACGGTGTCTCTGCGGGGGAGAGCGTGATTGTCACTCCTTCTCGAGCATCCTTATCCGCTCATTCTGTTGGAAGATCATCAGATTGGTCTGGTTGATCGCCACGAACAGACCCACCTTATTAGGATCAGCGTTGGGTGGCACCGAGATTGGCTGGTAGACAGCCGGGCTATCAAAGAGTCGGGCGGCGTTGAAGGTTTCATCTTCCGAGGAGGGGGAGGCGGTGTGTCCATCCCTGGAGTCGCCCTCCTCGACGTGAACGGTCACATTGGGATTGTGGTCGTCACCGTTGGTGAACGAAGCGAATGCGGTTTCTGGAGCGTTGTCATTGCTTGGGATGACCATGATTAAACAAAAGTTGAATGTTGCTTTGGTTTTTGAGCTTCTATGCCTCTACAGAAGAAAGAACGGGGGAACAAAGGCTTCCCATAGACGACACCATGATCTTACCTGATCAGAAAGGAATTAGCAGTCTGCCACGCGTCGTGAGCTTTTGTGTTCACCGGTGTTAAATAGGAGGAGAAGGTGTACCTACAAGGTACTCCGATGCCTAAGTGTGTAACGAAGTTAGAAAGAGCAAGTACAGAGAAAATAAGTATGGAAAATAGAATATCTGATCCTCTAGTGAAATAGGGTATTTATAATGTGACCCCAACGCTGAGCCAACAATTACTTTGCATTGGGTTGGATTGCAAGACCCGACGCGGTTAACTGTCAGGGCTTACGTGACGTAGAAAAGACCAGCACATGATATTCGCTCTAGGTCAATTGCCCCATGATCTCCGGAAGGTGGGTGACCTGTTTTTTCAAATGTGGATAGTTGCTGATGACGTATCCTCGCATGGGGGGCACGTGGAGTCCGTGAGGAAGACGCGTGAGCTCTCCCTGCGCCAGGTAGTGGTTTGCCCAACTACAAAATTAACTGTGCCCGACATGATGGAAGATCGGGCTTTGTTGGGTCTCTCTAACTTAGTGTTGGATTGAGCCTGCCCGACTGTAGGGCATGTATTGACCTAGTCTAGAGCTATATATATATTCTTAAATATTTATGCTATATATTTAAATATTATTTGAATAATTTTTTTGATTTTTTAAATCAGTTTTAAAAAACTAAAAAATATATGATTGCTAATCTTATTTAAAAAATTTACTTTAGATATAAAAAACAAAAATAATTGTTTGAAAGATTCATTTTCAAAATATGTTTTAAAAACTAAAAATAGAGGAACTTATTTTATACATATTTCATTTTTCTTACTATTTTCTATCTCAAATTTAATGAAAAACAAACTAACTCATAATATACCTTGTATAGTGTAAAAGTTTGTATTAACACTTATCATATTATTTTAAGTTTGAAATGATAAACACATTTTTTTTCTCTTAAAATTATTCAAATTGAATACTACTAATCCAACTAATAACTTTTTTCCCAATCTTTTCTATCTTACAGAGTATTATAGAAATACCCTTCTGTAATACCCTTTAGTCTTTTTTTACTATGACAAAAACAACAAAAGCCCTTTAAACTTTTTAGTACTAAAACAATAACTAATAAAATAAATAAATTCAAAACAAGAATGTAAAATTTTCTAGAGCAATATTAAAGCAAATTTGATATCACATGCGAAGGTCAAACGAAAAATTATATAACCATTTATATTTCTTTAAACACAACAAAAAATATGACATATATTCTTCTAATAGCATACATATATTAATCCAAATCATATTTTTATTTTTAAAACATGACACGATAAGGTTGAATAATAAAATCTTATAAACTAACAATATAAAATTATTTTACACTAATATTATACTATTTTAAATCTCTTTAATGATATATTTTTAATATAAAAATACTTAATGAATTTTTATTCATGAACTATTATAATTATTAGTATAAAAACTTTTTAGCTATTAAATCAATCATAATTATAAAAAGTGAAAACATATTTGATTTTAACAGTACACACTCTAAAATCACAATATAATAAAAAAGAAAATATAATATATATGTATTAAATTTAGTGACAAATAATAAACAGTATATATCTTGCCAAATTATTAAAATTATTTTACTAACATAAAAAATGGATAATTTTTTTATCACATAAGATTATTTTATACTACCAATATTAATAGGAATCAAATTACTAATTAGCAAATTTCATTTATTCAATCCATCCATATGAATGTTATTTTACAATAGAATGATTATACATTTATTTGTCCGTACAAAATTAATTGAAGAAAGGAGAAGATAGTGGGAATTGCGATGTACTGTATGAAGAAAGATTGTAGTATATGAAATACCGAAAACACCCTAATCCCCAAATCATGAAGAGCAAATGCAATAGCTTCTTCTGGTGATCTCGTTTCTTTCACAGTGCGCTCTCTTTCTCTCTCGTTCTCTCGCTTCCATTGTTTTCCTACAAGCACCGCACCGCGAGGTCGATTACTACAACCGTCATGACCGTGATGACTCCTGCTCCCATTGATGTACCTCACTCTTCGCAACTTTGTTTCCGTTTTCTTTTCTTTCCGTTTCGTTCATCACTTTTCTGTTTCCAATTTTGCTTCGACTTTTTCAATTTTGATTTTGTTGCGTGATTCCTGTTTATTTGTTCTTGATTTATTTTGTGTGCATGTTGCGTTTGTGGTTAGAATTGATTGTTGTTTTCGGTTATGTGGTTGAGAGTGACGGGGGTTTTGATCTTGTATAGTTTAATTTGCTTTAGTTTTGTTGCATTTCGTGTTTGGATTTTGGGGATTTTGTTAGGGATTGGTTTCGTAGTGGATCAGAAGTAGTGTAATGGTGTTTTTTTGTTGTGTGGATTTTGTAGCAGCAACAGCAGGAGGATGAGGAGATGCTTGTCCCGCACACTGTTCCACAGGCTGATTTGGCTGAGAATAATCACGAACCTATGGATGGTACTGCTTATTGCTTTTGATCTGTGGATAAGCTTGATGTTTTGTCACTTTATTTATTGTCTTTTAGAGGATTTAATCAAATTGATGTTAGAGTTAAGGAAACCACTTCATACATGTAGGAACCAAGTTATATAAACTGGAATAGGCGTTACACCGTGGACATAGGTAATGATTTGAGAAAATGGTGTAATTGAATGTAACTTGTGTCAGTGTCATAAACCGGGCAAGTCTTCAATGTCAAATGTTGGTGCTACATAGGGCTTATTTAGTTTGAGAAAACATTTCGTTTTCTTTTTTAATTACAAATGCTACTCAGTGTTCACTTTGTTTTCAGTTTTCAATGATTTATGGAAAAAAATAGAGAAAAAAACTATGTAAATATTTGAAAGTAGTAAGCAAATTGGCATTTAGTGAAAATGAAAAACAGTTTTTTTCTTCAAACTGAAGAGGCCTTTATTGTTGTTATCCATTCTGGAATGTCTGTGTGTTTTAAGTTTCTTGATTATAATGTTTTCCTCCCACTGTTTCACTCATTTTGTGGCAACTCCATTTTTAGTTAGTTCAGTTATGATGACATTTTTATTTCCGCCTCTAAGTTTCAAGCTAGTTTAAGGCAGATACTTAATTTCTCTTTTCATTTATATCGATGAACATTAGTTGTTGCTCAACCTGAAATTGCCAACCCAGTGGAGCCTGCCGAGGATCCTACACCATCAAGATTCACATGGAGAATCGACAACTTTTCTAGGATGAACACGAAAAAGCTCTATTCAGATGTATTTTTTGTTGGGAGTTTCAAATGGTATTATGCTTATCCATTTCCCGAATCAATTCATGATGTTCATTTTTCTATTTCAGTAAACATGCTCTATGATAGCATATTGTGCTGTTGTTTGACCCAAATATATCCAGTGGGGCAAGTAATTTTTTATGTTATATTTTTCATATCTGTTTTTATCTTGAACAACCTCCCCTGATTTTCCCCGTTCTCTGAACAGGCGTGTACTTATTTTCCCAAAAGGGAACAATGTCGACTATTTGTCCATGTATTTGGATGTTGCAGATTCAACTAGTTTGCCCTACGGTTGGAGCAGATATGCACAGTTTAGCTTAGCAGTTGTTAATCAAATCCATGCTAAGTACAGTGTGAGAAAAGGTAACCTATTTAGTTTGTTCCTTACAATTCTTACGAGATGAATTGCCATGCATGATGTATAAAAAGGCATTAATAGAGTTAAAAGCTAGTAATGTTGTAAGATGTATGATGCCATTCCTAGAAGAGAATTTCATACTTGAAAAATCTATGTTATGCTGCCATTTTCTCTAAGAAGCCCACATGGTTTTGGTTGATTGTTTTCATCAAATCCCTAGAATAATAATGCTTCTATACATTTCACCCTCCTTTTATATGCCACTTCTGATTAGCGATTAATTTATGCACCTAGTTGTTGTTATTGCTTGTTGATATTAAATTTAGAGCTTAACCTAATTGGTTTCTTTCCTTCAGCCATCTGTTTCGTAATTTACTTCATTTAGTTTTTTTTTATACTAAATTTGAATTGAAACTACCACTTCTACACACACACACACACACACACACACATTTCCCCTTAGAAGTTGTAATTGTTTTCTAAGGCTGGACTTGTTAGTATTGACTTGTTGAATCTAAGGATATTGCACTAATTTTTTTCTTCTCTTTCTTGAGCTCTTTCCATTTGTCTCATGGAAACTGTTTAGCATTTACCATTAGACCAAATGGAAGAGGAGAAAAAAAATGTGAGAATGCACATAATTTTTGGGCATAGAAATGTGTTATTTTTGTAACTATTTTTTATTTTGCACAATGTAGACACGCAGCATCAGTTCAATGCACGAGAAAGTGATTGGGGTTTCACATCCTTCATGCCTCTTGGTGAATTGTATGATCCTAGTAGAGGGTATCTTATGAATGATACTCTTATAATTGAAGCCGAGGTCCTTGTCCGTAGGATTGTTGATTACTGGACTTATGATTCAAAAAAGGAGACGGGATATGTTGGGCTCAAGAACCAGGGAGCTACATGTTATATGAATTCTCTGCTCCAAACTCTGTACCATATTCCTTATTTCCGGAAGGTCAGGCTCTATTTCTCCTATTTTATTCTTCTTGTTTTTAGCCCACTTCTTTGACTGGATAGTAATGTGGATGTTGGGTCGTGTATGTTGTATTTCAGGCTGTATACCATATGCCTACAACAGAGAATGATATGCCCTCTGGAAGCATCCCCTTGGCTCTGCAAAGTTTGTTTTACAAGCTCCAGTATAGTGACACCAGTGTCGCAACAAAAGAGCTGACAAAATCGTTTGGGTGGGATACTTACGATTCTTTCTTGCAGCACGATGTTCAAGAACTAAATAGAGTTCTTTGTGAAAAACTTGAAGACAAAATGAAGGTAACGGAAAGACCTTCAGATATTTGTGCACAATTTCATTTTGGTGAAGTACCGACTCAAATGCATAATGAACTATTATGTTCAGGCAACTGTTGTTGAAGGAACTATACAGAAATTGTTTGAAGGGCACCACATGAACTATATTGAGTGCATCAATGTGGACTATAAATCAACACGAAAGGAGTCATTTTATGGTACTTTCATATGCATGCTGAAGTTATTTGTATTTTCAGTTGCACCATGCGACTTGAGTCTAATTTAGTCTTTAACTGATATATGGCAGACCTTCAACTTGATGTCAAAGGCTGTCCTGATGTTTATGCTTCATTTGACAAATATGTTGAAGTTGAACGTCTTGAGGGAGACAACAAATACCATGCTGAACAATATGGTTTGCAGGTTAGTGATAGAAGCTGGCACCTATAGTGACCGAATTGAAGAAGATTATAGAAATGATAGAATAATGCTCTGCAGAATTTGTCTAAAATAGTAGTTTATTTATAATAAATATATAATTCACACACCTGCACATTAGAGAAAGTTTAGAGACACAATGATAGAATGGTCTCCTTCCCATAACCACTCAATAAATATCCCATAATCAGTTACTCCTTTCCTTTCTCTAGTTATAGATAAAAAACGTCATAACTGACATAGTGAAACATGTAACCACTAATTAATTGCTGCTCTCTCCTATTATATTGTTCTCTAATAAAAAGTCTTAACCACAAGTTGCAATAGTTGAACTGAGTCTACCTGTTAAATTTCATTTAGTTCAGTCAACCTTCATCTTGAAGGAGTGCTTAAGTTCTGGGTCAGACTTGCAACAACCAACGATGTATTAAAAAATGTTCTTTGTTTCGTTGTTGTCTCTTCCTTAGATAGCTGGTTATGCCTTACCCGTATAATGTGTGGTGACAATTATGGTTAATGACATATGTGCACTTCAAAGAAGTGTATGCAATTGCAAACTCATGTGTTGACTCGTAGGATCGGACGGTCTTACGATTCAAACCCAGCTTTCCGTGCTCCGATGCTAGTGAAATCGGACTGAAAATCTCAGTAAAATCTTTGGAGTGAATTGGTAAAATCGTTAAAGTGAATCTGGTCAGGTTATCATTATATTACATATGGGTAGAATCAGATCTTGCATAAAAGAGGATGTCACCACTTAGTTTTGTGATGGAGTTTGCATACGTAGAAAAACAGCAACAAAGAGGCCCTAACACGATAGAAATAGAAGATAAGATGAAGTGGTGGTGGCAGAGAAATATAAATCAAGAAATAAATCTAAGAAAAGAGTGTTGAAAAGGCACCTATGATATGAAATCCAAGGAAAGGCACTTTGCAAAACCCAACGTCAAGCTGTATACCACATACTTCGCCTATGCTTATTAAAAATATACTAATATGATTTTTTTTAGCAAAAAAACAAATAATAATAATAGTAATAATAATAATAATAATAATAATAATAATAATAATAATAATAATAATATATCTTAAAAAATAAAAAAAATACATAGCACACGACATAAACAAAAGGCAAAAAAAAAAATTAAGTGTTTTACCCTTAAATTTGTTATGAACTTATGGTTATGTAGTTGGTTTAATATTATGATTTAAGATTATTTTCTTTATCTATAATTTTTATGTATATGTATATAAAAGTATATATATTTTATATTAGTAGGATCTTTTGATCCGTTTAACGATCCTGGAGTCACGATCTCTTAAACCTCGCGATCCTGCATAGACTCTCGTTTCTTAAAACATTGCTTCAAAGCCATATTAAACCTTGGACCTTTTCCTTCATGGAAGTCTATTATAGGTTTCTAATCGATCTTTTTAGGTAAGGTTGTCCTTGAAGGTCTTGTTGATTGTGCAAAGGTTTGTTTGGTGGTTAGTGGTTATGCACAAGTTTTTGGCCTTGATTGCATGGATACCTTCATCGTTGTTAAAAACATAAATTGACTTTTGTTTAGTTGTTTTTGTCTATGGATATTATATTATTTACAATCTCTTCCTTTCTCAATTGGCTTTCAAGATTTCTTTTCTATATGATGATATCTCTAAAGAAGTATATATTGAAACACCTGTTGGATTTGCTGCTTATGGGGGAGTAGTTTGAAATAGTTTGTTTGCTGCAAAATCTATGTCATCAAGAAATCCAATAGGAGTAGATTTGGCAGATGTAGCATCGCAGTCCAACATTTTGGTATGAAATGAAGTGAGAATGATGACCCAGAATTCTATTTCTATTCTTGATTAATATATGACAACTCTAGCATTAAATAACTGATATACTCTTGTATATAAGTTATCTACTTTTGAAGTAAAAAGACTATTTATTTTTATTACTTTTTACACTTTCACCACATTCTTCTCTTAGCTCTCTCTTTCAACAGAGTGATTTAATTTGATACCTTCTGCACTCAAATATTGATATATTAATTTTTGCAAAAAAAATGTTGGTATTCTATTTGTTGTTTCCATGTTTTTAAGTATATTTGTGATTTGCTTGGAACAAATTCTTGACATTTCCTTGAGTTTGTTTTACTCACACTCAGGGTAATCATCTAAGCAATTTTTAAATCTAGTTTCACGTTTAACTGATGATTTTTCATATTTTCAGGATGCTAAGAAAGGTGTTCTGTTCATCGATTTTCCTCCAGTTTTGCAGCTTCAACTGAAAAGATTTGAATATGACTTTATGCGGGATACTATGGTAAAGGTTAGTAGTCAAATAGAGACACCGCTTTGCAACATATTTTGTACTCTTGGTGCTTTGTTTGCTAGCATATTTGATAGTAGTTAGCGTTTCCTTGTTTTTGGAATTTCCACGGCTTTGTGCACATGATTTAAGTTGTAACTGGTTCTACAGTTTTATTGGGTATTGGCAAGAGTAAGATGCAGATAGAACATTCTAACTTTGCTTTTATAATGTTATTGAAGATTATTTTTTGATCCGACTTGATTATGTACACTAAAATAATATTCTTATTTTTCTTTTGTAGTATGCATTCATTTACGGTGCTGTTACCTAATGCAAGAAAGTGATTTGACTTGTCATGTGTTTGGAGACAATGAGTTTCTTTGTGATTGAAAAACAGAAGATTAACAAAAAGATTTTTGTGTTTTCTTAATATTTGTTTTTAAATGAATTTTCTGTTTAATAAATGCTTTTTCCTTTGCTTATTTGAAAGTTGCTACTTACTTTTAGTAGAGGAGGATCTTTTTTATACAATCACACACACACACACACACACACACACACACACACACACACACACACACATTAATTCAAGTACTTCATTTGAAAAAGCCACATACAGTGAAGCAACACTGTCTGCTAGAAAAAAACTAGGGCTTTTGCTATTATAATTAGTTTCTACCTATCTGTCACCGAGTTCTTCACATTTGACGGAGGGATTGAATTGTTGTGTCATATCTATACTTGGAAATTTAAATTCTCTCTTTTTTTTTGACATGTAGATTAATGATCGTTATGAGTTTCCATTGCAACTTGATCTTGATCGAGACAATGGAAAATATTTATCACCTGATGCTGATAGGAATGTCCGCAATCTTTACACACTTCATAGGTAATATATTGTCTGTTTCAGCGGTTTATGTTGCTGATTCTATGTTTTTTTGGCATTGGGGCTAGTGATCTTTCTAATTTGTTTTAGGGGTGGCAAATGGGCATGCCCGACCCAAAAAAGAGGTGGGGCGTGCATATTAGAGGGGGTGCGAGTCTATAACATTGGCCCGACCTGTGAAAAAGTGCGGGCAAAACGGGCATGTCTGTCGGGCCGGGCCCGTTTTGCCACCCCTAATTTGTTTCATGATTTCTTCGGTAATTGTGCTTGCTTTCTGATAATGGAAAAAGATACAAAGAAAACAATTTATTTTTTTGGAGAGCCATCTCCTAGCCCCATCCATATTAAATAGTAAATATATGTTTGACTCCTTTTGGAACTGGTAACCTTAGAATATGTATTGAAAGCTTCCATTTGTCCAGAATTTTAATCAATGAAGTTCACAAATCTGTGATTTCTATTTCTCATGCTGATTTCATCGGTTGATGTTCAATTATTTATGCATGTCTTAATTTGTGATGACAATATTTGACAGATTTACATGTTTTTTTCCCAGTGTTCTGGTTCACAGTGGTGGTGTGCACGGTGGACATTACTATGCTTTTATCAGACCCACTCTCTCCGATCAGTGGTACGTACAATAGGGTTTCCATGCCTAAACTGCTCACTTCCTTGTAAGCTACGTGCAATTGTCAACATATTTGACGGACAAGGGGCCATGTATTACATTCATCAAATGCTTATGTGGTTCGAGTCTCAAGTGAATATTTCTAACTAACTATACATTATACCTCAGGAATGCACATTTTTTCATTGTCTTCCAAACACAAATTACAAGTTTATTTTGCCTAGTATATATTTGTCATGAAGAGGTAGGGAAAAGAGGTGCTTTGTGGGAGTGGATAGGAGTTAGAACTAGAAGTAAGACCATGCTAATGTTAAAATTAAATCAATTTCAGCAATTTCAAATCTTGTTTAATAGGCTTTCATGGAGTTTGCTTAATTCAGCTGTTTGTAAATAAATTAACAATTGCAAATTTCATCATTTTTTAAATTTCACCCGCAGACCTGATAAGTTTTCAAATCAATATATTAGATTATTAGAATACATAAATTTGTTTGGTAGTTTGTTCTGTTACTTAACAATTTTTAAACTACAGAAATTCTTAGGGAAGCAAATTACTTAGATCAAACCTCGGTATGCTTAATTTTATAAGATAATGTGACGAGGAGTGTTTTTTAGTGATGGAGTCTTCATATTTTCTCACCTTATTTCTACAAGCAGAATGCTTGAGTACTTCCTACTTCCTGGATGCCTTGTTTCTAACTTAGACAAATAAAATATGCTGGTATCTTTAATATATTTTTACTTTCGTAATTATTAGATTTCATGTGTTTTATCATAGTGACTAGTAAGCATCTATGTAGATCTGAGACTATATCTTGAAGGTGTGTCCAACATGTATCGGTGTCTGAAGTGCGTTAATAAGTGATACTTTAAAAAGAAGCTGTTCTATTGGTTGACAATCGAAAGGCAAAATATGTTCCTTTTTACCTGTATCATAGTTATATGCAATTTCAATAATAGTTGTAAATGGACTTTGGTATTGCATGAAAATTTCTGAAAGGCCAGTCACTTTTTTTTTTTTGTTATTTTGTATTGCTTTGTATTGGTGACTGAGTGAACTCTGCATGATTTGATTGGATATGTAAATTGCTATTAGGTACAAATTTGATGATGAGAGGGTGACAAAAGAAGACCCTAAACGGGCATTAGAGGAGCAATATGGTGGTGAGGAAGAGGTATTTACTTTATTTTTATTAGTATTATCATTTGATCTTTAAGAGCATCTGAGTACTTGTTAATGATTCAACTGCTTGTATATTGTATTTTAACAGTTACCGCAGACAAATCCTGGATTCAATAACAGTCCTTTTAAATTCACCAAATATTCAAATGCTTATATGCTGGTGTATATACGGGAAGCTGACAAGGAAAAAGTTGTATGCAATGTGGATGAGAAAGACATTGCTGAGCATTTAAGGGTACGTATATTTTTATGGCGAGTAAAAGTATGGTTTAATACATGGAATTCATGGGATCCTATTTGTATTCTGCGTACAAGTTAACTTCCAAATAAATTCAGATGCCTAATTTATTTTATGATAATTGATATTAGGAAGCATGTCATATTCTGCTATTGCAATGGTGACTGTTCTTGCAGGAAACTGTCATTTTTGTTGCTTTTTCCTGTAAATTTAAACTCTACACGACCAATAAATTTTCTTTGTTTTCTCATTAGAAGTTCCTTATGAGTATTTCAAGCTAAAATCAAACCTAAGTTTGCCACTCCCTTTCATTTTCTATTCTACTATCAATTGTGGGTTGCAGAAAATAGCGGTTTGTTCAAATTGTGCTATGCATTCGTGGTATAGTGCCACTATAGCTTCTATTTGACAGCATTTTGTACTAAATAGCATATCACAGAACAGTAAGGATTTGTTCAAATTCTGCTATGCTATAGCTGCCATTTAATAGCACTGATTTGTACAATGGGTTTATGCAGGAGAGGTTGAAGAAAGAACAGGAGGAAAAAGAGCACAAAAAGAAAGAAAAGGCTGAGGCTCACCTATACACTATCATAAAGGTGTTATTATCTTGCTATCCTAGAATTGAGTGTTGCTTGCGTCTTTTTAAAGATGATGTGAATTGCTCAATCAGATTGTTTTTTTTCATATAACTGATGACACATAATGCTTAGGTGGCAAGAGATGAAGACCTTGGAGAACAGATTGGAAAGGATATATATTTTGATCTTGTAGACCATGACAAAGTGCGGAGTTTCCGTGTCCAAAAGCAGACACCATTTAATGTTTTCAAGGTATCATCGGCAGTTACACTCTTGGAATTGTAGAACAAATAAACTAATGTTAATTAGGGATTGATGTACAAACACTAATGTGATCATATAGATAAAGCCTAATGAATAATACTCCTTCCGTACCTAAATATGTTCACCCACCCACGGATTATGTCACTCTAATTAAGGAATGTTGATAGTGTAGTTAATATATCCATTTTGTATGACAGTAAGACTAATTTCCCTTTGTGTATAGATGGATGTATTCAATTTCAAAATTGATTTTTCTATTCCAAGATAAATTAGTAATATTAATTTGGGTTGTGTTTTGAAATTAGTGGATTTAATTTGAAATGGGGCTTATATTTAGGAACAATTATTTTTGCAATGGGTGCTTATAAGTAGGGACAGAGGGAGTAATCAAGAAAATCAAGAAATCCCTTTCTAAATACATTTTCCCATTTAAATCCAGAAGGGATGCGTAGTTATAAAATGACTATCTAGTTCTATCATGTTGTACTTAGTTGTGTGCAATGCTAATGGCAGAATTATTAGCATAGAGTAGCCTCATAGGATAAGAGTCATGGAAGTTGGGAAAGTTTAGTTTGTGAAATGCTAAAGAGAAGTCATTGTTTTGGTTGCTTCCTCATAGAAGGGATCTAGTTCTATCATGTTGTACTTAGTTTTCTGCAATGCTAATGGCAGAATTATTAGCATAGAGTAGCCTCATAGGATACAATTCATGGAAGTTGGGAAAGTTTAGTTTGTGAAATGCTAAGGAGAAAGTCATTGTTTTGGTTGCTTCTTCATAGAAAACTATTATTTCCAAAAACTGTACTAAAATATAATAGTCACGAAGTGTTAGTGGGAAGAAGAAAAAACAGGTCAAGGTTCTTTATAATCTTTATGCTTTTGATTTTGTAATTTATAATTTAATTTGTGAAGTTCGTGATGATAATTTGTTATTTTTGTAAGTTAGATTGCTAATCTGTGATATGTAGGAAGAGGTTGCTAAAGAGATTGGCGTACCAGTCCAATTCCAGCGCTTTTGGCTATGGGCAAAGCGTCAAAACCATACATATCGTCCTAATCGTCCATTGACACACATTGAGGAAGCACAAACTGTAAATTCACAATCTGTGCCTATCATTTTTCTCATATATGTTTGTTGGCTTTTAGGGAAATATTGGTTTTGTATTAACAAAAACCTTGAGCTTCTTTTCCCCTCATATGTTTCATGTTGAATTTGTTCAATGTCTTCATGACATTTTATGCCGACCCACTGACGTAGTAGTTTTTTAATTTTTTTTTTTTTTAAATTTTTTTGATTTTTGATTTTTAATTTTTTAATTTTAAAACAAATTACAAAGCAGCACATGTAGGTTGTCTTCTTATTGACTGTTTAGGATCCATGTGAGGGTGCTTAGTTTTCGTGTGATTCATCTCTGTGCAACACCCAAGTAGTTTTCTCTATGATTTGAAGTTTATTTTGTTTACCTGATACTGATTCAAACCGCAGGTTGGACAATTGAGAGAGATATCGAACAAGGTTCACAATGCAGAATTAAAATTGTTTTTGGAAGTGGAACATGGGCCGGTAACCTTTAAGTTTTGAAGTTGCGTACTATTTTGATTCCGTGATACATTATCCAAACACATCCCTGTTGACAAACTACATTGTTATTTAGGATTTATGTCCCATTGCACCACCAGAGAAGACAAAGGATGATATATTACTTTTTTTCAAGTTATATGATCCTGAAAAAGAGGAACTGCGGTACTGAATGATTTTTTGATTTTTAACAAATGTTGTGGTAAAAGGTGGCCCTGAGTTGACATAAAATGTGTTTCTCTTTGATGGCAGTTATGTTGGCAGACTCTTTGTGAACAGTATTGGCAAGCCATCAGAAATCATAACAAGGTTAAATAAAATGGCTCGTTATGATCCTGATGAAGAGATTGGACTTTATGAGGTTGGTTTGTGTTGTCAAGTTTATTTTTTATCTAAAATACATAAAATTTTAAAATCGTAGTGCATCCTTGCATGTTCAGAAACCAGAAGCCATATGATTCATAACTAAGTGTTAGGCACTAGCATTCATGGTTTTAGTTGTTTAGTAACTAAGCTTTCTGGTGATTAATGGCAAGTAAAGTGCATAATGTTCTATGAAAATTTATCAGTCTTGCATATGACTTACCAGAAGTGAAAGGGCCTTTCCTAATGGCGTCTTCAGGTTCTGATCTCTGCAAATGACTATTATGAATTGGCTTTAGCGAATTAACTGTGCCTATATTTGTGTAGGAAATTAAGTTTGAACCAAATGTAATGTGCGAGCCTATTGACCAGAAATCAACATTTCGAGCAAGCCAGGTATAGTATATTCCCTGTTGATGCACATTAAGTTGCTGTATCTTTGGTGTGCTTATTGATTTGTTTTTCCATGAATGCAGCTTGAAGATGGAGATATTATATGCTTTCAGAAGGTTCTTGCTATAGATAATGAGGAACATATCCGCTATCCTGACGTGCCTTCTTACTTAGAATATGTGCATAATCGCCAGGTATATTTCTTGTTGTTTAATTAAAGGCAGTTTGTTTTGTTTGCCGTGATGCAGAAATGAAAGCTGCCCATTTACTCTGTCATGTTTTGTTTATTTTACTTTCCTCCTCATGTTTGGGCTAATGCATACATGTATTGGTGTATGTAATCAATAAGCCTTTGCTAGTTTCATCGTGTTTAGATTGTAAGCTATATGCTGAATTTTTTTATCACTGATTCATGTACTGTAGGTTGTTCACTTTCGGTCTCTAGATAAACCAAAGGAAGATGACTTCTCCCTAGAGATGTAAGCTGACTGGATTTTATTGGTGTAAATTGTTACAGACATGAGCGCACATACATGTTTATAATGCTTAGAATCACACCCTTATCAAGTACTCTTGTTAATTTATAGGTCAAGGCTTTTTACATATGATGATGTTGTGGAGAGAGTAGCTGAACAACTTGGTTTGAACGATCCATCCAAAATCAGGCTCACCCCACACAACTGCTACTCTCAACAACCTAAACCACAGCCTATCAAGTACCGAGGGGTGGAACATTTATCTGATATGCTGGTTCACTACAATCAGGTAGTTGTTGATTTATTGTTCAATACTTCTCAGTGTCTCTTATTTAAAAACAAAATGCCTTATTCTTTTCTTGCATGCAGACATCGGATATATTGTACTATGAAGTACTTGACATCCCTCTGCCAGAATTACAAGGTTTGAAAACTCTGAAAGTTGCATTTCATCATGCTACCTCAGATGAAGTGAGTATGGTGGCCTGATTTTTTTTCCAGTTTTCATCTATATTCTTTTCATAATTATTATCGTAATTTTTTTAAATATCGATTCAGGTGGTTATACATACCATCAGACTCCCAAAGCAGAGCACTGTGGGAGATGTCCTTGATGATCTTAAAACAAAGGTGTCTGTGTTTTTTACTATATTTCATTTACTTGCCTGTATTGTACGTTGATACTTATGGAATATACAACTGCACCCCGCTTGCTTCATGGGTTGAGTTAGAATAAAAAAGTGATGCCGTGTTTACCAGCCTTGTGCAGTTGTGACTGTTGTATTGTATGAGTAGCAGTTTTATAATATAAAGTTGATAACCTTCCTATATGACTTTTCACATTTAATTATATTTCTGATGCTCAATTTTGGCTGTTTTTACAGGTTGAGTTGTCTCGCCCTGATGCTGAGCTTAGGTTGCTTGAAGTCTTCTATCACAAAATATACAAGGTTTGGCATTACATTAAAATTACGCACCCCTTAGTCTATTGCATATATTACTAACAATGCATTTAAAGATTGCACATGTTGCCAATTTCCTTATTAAAATATGTTCATTATGTCCTGCCTTTACTGTGCAGGTTTTCCCTCCCAATGAAAAGATTGAAAACATAAATGATCAATACTGGACACTACGAGCAGAGGAGGTAGCAGTCTCTTTTGTGAATGGGGTCGGGGAAGGGAGAGAATGCTGTTCATTTCATCAAGTGTTTTTTGCTTTTTTTTTTTTTTGGGGGGGGGGGGGGGGGGGGGCAAAAGTGTTTCTGCTTTTATTTATTCAAATAACAGCACCAGTTTGTAAATATGTTAATCTTTGTATACTACTTTTACAGATTCCAGAAGAAGAGAAAAATCTTGGTCCTCTTGATCGTCTAATCCATGTCTATCATTTTACTAAAGACACAACTCAGAACCAAATGGTATATAGTTTTAATTAATCCATTTTGCTTTATACCGTTTTTGTACTTGACTACTTCGATACGTTAATTGTATGCCAACCCTTTTGTAACTTGGTTTTGCATTTTATATGTACAGCAAATTCAAAACTTTGGGGAACCCTTTTTCTTGGTCATACATGAATGTGAGACTTTGGCCGAAATTAGAGTGCGATTACAGAAGAAGCTTCAAGTTCCTGATGATGAGTTTGTCAAGGTATGTCTTCATCTTCGCGAGTTCTATTCTGTTTTAAGTAATTTTGGTTTTAGTGATTGATGCTTCATAGAGTAAATATTGGTTTGTATACTTGACTCAATGCACTTAATTCTTTTAATTTAATTTTTTTGCTTGGCCAGTGGAAGTTTGCCTTTTTTTCATTAGGGCGACCAGAGTACCTCGAGGACTCTGACGTTGTATCAAGTCGCTTTCAGGTGATTCATTTATACTAAACTTTTTTTATTGAACAATATTAGCTAATTTACATTTAATACCATTTTCATATCTTGAGACTTATATTTACGGTACGTTGTCCTCCTATTATTAATCTTTTGACAGAGAAGAGATGTATATGGTGCTTGGGAGCAGTATCTTGGCTTGGAGCATACTGATAATGCTCCTAAAAGATCATATGCTGCTAACCAGGTTAGTAACTTTATTTGCGAGAACTAATTTTATCAGTATATTTTGGCCTTTGAATGTTTGGTTGTTGTTCACTCTACTAGTACTTCTTGGTTTTAATTCAAAGTTAACAAAACTTTTTGTTACACCATTTCAACTTACATAGGTTTTGTTTTCAGAATCGTCACACATTTGAGAAGCCAGTAAAGATTTATAATTAGGAAATCAGGATGGATGGCTTATCATTTTGCATAGGATGAATTCAGCGTTCTTCTACATCTATGGTTGTGTAAAAACAGGGAAAGTAGGGAAAGGCTAAGTCTTCATAGGCCAACTTTTGAGATCAGTGATCAAGGCTGTGTGTGCAGGTTTTTTATATTAGAATTGTGATATGTAGTTATTTCATTTGATGGAGTGACATTGCTCTCTACACTGTGCATCTGCCGACCACAGCACTTCTTCCATTGGTGTATGGAAGTTGTTGTTCATGTCGAGGGCCTTGATCACCATCACTGCACTTTATCAGTACATAATTTTTTTTTTTGGATTAGCAAGTAAATACAAGGTATAGCTGGTTGACTCTTCTTGTCATATTGTTTGCTTCCCGATTTTGTTCAGTAGTTAGAATTGTTAATTCTAGCAAGGGCTGCAAAATGGTGCAGCAAAGTTCATGTAGTGATTTGTAAAAGAGGATTTTTCAGCCTCCATATACTTATATAGCATATAAATACCCCCCTTTAGAACCATCTGGTTACTATTTCCTATCTATGATACAGAGAAAGGAATATTAGTCAATGACATGGTATCTTTAATCTAAAAACGAAAGACTGACATTTTCTTGTTCCCACACCCTTGTTGGGTAGTGTGATCTGAAGATTTGCTAACCAATGCAAAGAGATTCACAAACGAATAAAATAACTTAATCACTTTTAAACAACCGCAATTACAGCTAGTAACGAATACATCAGTATAGCATCTAAGTGGTTCCATGGATGTTCATATCTTATATTATACATTTTTTTAATATTAGAATTTAATAGGCATTCTCTTTTTTCAACCCAGCACTTGGAAGAAAAATTAAATGAATTTCACATATCAAGATATCATTACATTCTAACAATTACAATTATTTTAATTAATATGATTTTATTAGTTGGAGTAGTAAAAATAGTGGAGAGGGAATTTTTACAGTTAACCATTTTTAATAGTCATCAATTTTTTTCTTCCCTTTCCTTTTGAGTGGTGTACTTATTAAGTGGTGACATGTATATGCCCTCAGCCACTTAGATATATAATAATATATTCTTAACACACTTTATATGCAAACTCTCATTTAATTTGATTTTACGATATTTTGCTGACAACACTTTTAAAACTTACATCTTCGTTCTTTTTATTAAGAAAATGTCAAACATATTTTAATTAATAAAATTATAATCTGACTTTTATCTTTTTATTACAATAGTTTATTTTAAGAATCTTATATATTGTTAGCTTCTCTTGTGTTTTTTTTTCTTCTTTTGTTCTCATGTACTTAAACAGAAACTAGAACCCAGTTGGCTAAAATAAAACACAATTGACTATAGTAAAATAGTTAGTGAAAATTTGAGGGGAAATTTTAATACATCCCATGTATTTTTAAAAAACTTCATATAAATTTAATTTTAATTGTTTTGAATACTACATACAATTTAAAATTTGAACTATGTTCACAAGGAAAAGTAATATGATCAATAAGAAATGATTGATTCTTCCCAAAAAAGCCGAGAATATTCTTGCCTAACACTTCATCTGAGAAATTCATTAGTGAACTTGGTATAGGTTTTAGCATTGTCAATCACATTGAACTCCATTATGATGACAAGGGTGCCATTAACAATCTATGAAGCTAGATCTAAGCACATACTTTATAGTTATCATCTCATTTGGGAGATAATTGAAATGAGCGATGAGAAGATATGTAGACTACTAATACTTTTGACAATGTTTCTGATTCACTCGTAAAACCTTTTATTCATTAGAATCATGATGGTCATATTAGATATATGAATATTAGGTACATTTCTAATTGAATCTGGTGCCAGTGGGAGATTTTTTAGAGTAAACCATACAAGCCAATGATTTAAATTAAAATTTGTATCATAGTTATTACTTATAATAAATGATTCTTTTTATTACATTTGTTTTCAAAGTAATAAAGTCTCTCGAGGAGATGTGAAAGAAGCGACACGTATCAACCACGAGTTAGGAAGATGAAACAAGATGACATTAGATCGAGAAAATGTGAGTGTTTGTTAAAATTACCCACACACCGTATGACGGATGACACATGAGAATTTAATGTGATTTTCGATATACATAATTATGCCTTGAGTAACAAGTTAGCTAGTCATCCCATAGTATGTCGTCTTATTCTAGAGGAGAGAGAACTTGTTAAACATGACATTAAATATGGTGGCGCCAAAAAACGTACTTGTATATTTGAAACAGAAAGGACCTGTAAATGTTAAAAATATCAAATAAATATACAACGTGCGTGTTCATAACAACAAGGCGGTAAGAGGTCCAATATCCAATATGCAACAATTGTTAAAGCTTTTGGAAGATGATCACTATGTTTCTAGGTACAAAGTTTATAATGATAAAGTCATCATTCAAGATATTATTTTTTTTGGACTCATCGATTCCATCAAGTTGTTCAACACATTTTTCTCTATGCTCATAATTGATTCAATATACAAAACAAATAAGTATAGACTTTCACTCATAGAAATTATTTGTGTTACTTTTACGAAGATGACTTTTTGTCAGTTTGCATTTTTGGAATCCCAAAAAGAGGACAATGTTAGATGGGCTTTGGAAATGTGCAAAACTACATTGAAGTACCAAGAAAACATGCCACAATTAATAGTCACAGATCACGACACCATATTGATGAATTTGGTTTCAACGATGTTTTCTACATTGTATGCATTACTTTGTAAGTATCACATAATAAAAAACGTGACAAGTCGACTAAAACCTTCGGTTGGCACCAAACAAATCAAAGGCGAGGACGGAAAAATGGTCAAACTTGGTGTCGTGGTGGAGAAGACAATGGATGCTTGAAATTATATATTAAATTCTTCTCGCCGATCTGAAATTCAGAAAATCAGAGAGTTGTCAAACTATCACTACAAAGAATAACACTTTTTATGACGAAGCTAACTCTTGAACAATAAAAAAATAAGGGTAGAGGTACTGGGAGCGTCAGGTTTCATTTTTTATATAAAAATAAACAACCATTTACCTCGGTTTTTATAAAAAGCGAGGGAATAGAGATATAAGGGAGCTCGCTACGATACCTAGTTATTGCCTTTTATGCTTTTTTTTCCATTTGTTTAGTTAATATTTCTCATTTGGCGCATTTCTAAGTTCTATTTTTATCATTGTTATTTTTTTAAATTATTTTTTATTAGTATTTACCTCGGCTACATGGTTCAATTGAGAGATGATATATTTTGCATTAATCAATTTCGAAATACTATTTTCAAAATCTTATTTTAATTTTTTATTTGATATGTTTAAACCCCTCGGTTATAAAAAAAAACCAACTTTATATATCTTTTAATTGAATTCCCAAAATATGGCGCTATTGTGTTCTTTTATATTTTATATTTTTAATTGATATGTCACGTCGGATTTTATATAAAACCGACGTGACACATATATTGCATGAAATACTCCAGACTACAATTTAGCTTGTTTCTCAATTTTCATTTACCTATCAACGCTCAAACTTCATTTCGTCACTCTCATTTCACCAAAAATTCTAGGAGATTTTCAAGCTGATATTCATCAAAACTCTTTCAATAGATATTCATCAAACGTCATTTTTGCAACAGGTTTACTCTTCACTGAAACGAGTTATATATCACTTTGTTTTTCACATATCATTTTGTCTAGGGTTTTATGTTTGTTTGTATTTTAATTTTTTTCTACGATTTTCCATTTGTTTTTATTGAAACCTTAGTTAGTATAATTTCTCTTGATCATTTTGAGGTTAATTTAGATAGTCATTTCGTCAACATATATCATTTTTTAACAGGTTTGTTCTTCACTAAAACGAGTTGTATATATCACTGAAACAAGTTATTTATCACCGAAATGAGTTTATATCATTTTGTTTTTCACTGTTTGTCTCTTGATTATTTTGTTTTTACTGCAACATCTGTTAATAAAAATTGTAGAAGAAAAACTAGAGGTGTCACGATGTATATCAAGGTGAAGAAAGCCCATGAAATCAGTGTTCGCTACCTAGTTACAGTTGATGCTACAACCGACAGGGCTTATGGTGAACATGTTGACGATTTTATGGATTACATTACGTTACAATATAGAATTAAAGTGAGAATTTTGATAGATGGTTGACGTGATGTTTAAGAGGACTTGAAAGACACCATATATGATCAGGTATTTTATGATTTGTTTGCAAGTATATATGATCATTTATTTTTTGTTTAATACTAATAACATCTCTATTGTGTAAACATAGGAAATGTTCATTGTTAGTACAGATGATAATAATGTGAAAAACAAGATGCTTATATATTATAGTAAGCGTTGGATGGGCTTTAAGACACAACTCACCCATGATTATATTAAACATAGAGAAGATAAAGAAAAGCCTCCATATGATATATATTCATATAAACCGCTCCCTGCTAGATTTTTGAAAGTCTCGATTGATATTGCTTTAGAGGGGAACGCATTATTACCTATACCAGACGATGTTTCAGATGCAACACTGGTGGGAGACACAATATGATCGTATGTTGCATGACCGTTAAACCTCATTTTCATAGATGATGAGGTATATTGATCACCATTATGAACCTTTTAGTATTCAAATGTTTTATGAGCCATGCATGTAAGTTATTCTTACATTGACATACCTTTTATTTACATGGTAATCTTAGACTCCTACAAAATCCAAATCAAAAGATAAGGAGACTGTGCGGCAAACCGGGTCAGTTGCATAAAAAAAACAAGTACATTTATATATATGCATATAAAGTGTCAATTTTATTATACCATCTGAATTCAAAAGTTTCATAATATTATACATTAATTACTTAACTTATATGATTTTTAGATTCATGCTCAGGAGTTGCAACAAGTCAGCAAGAATATCATTCCTGAATTTAGCAATGTGTCCAAAAAAAAGGCAACTTGCGAAGAC